CCTTCATTCTTCATTCAGTCCACATCGGAGACTCATGTGAAACGGCGTGCAGAGAGTTTACAGCTGCTGAAGCTGCTGCAGCGGTTTTGGAAAGTAGTGATGAAGATAATGGAGCATTTAGATATGAAACATATGAGGATCATGTTATATGAAGAGCCTTTAAAGGAGGATTTAAGAAGAGATGGACAAATCGAGAGAATGACCACAGACCACAGAGGCAAAACCTTATTAAATCTGTTTAGCCTGATCTTCATCTGTGGTGAACAAACGTGTTTCAAAGCAAAGCTTTTGTTTTCTCTCCAAAACGTTGCTGGATCCATGGAATTACAAGGTCACTAATGACCTGTGCATCATAAGTTCTGCAACTGCACCGAAATACCCACACAAACCAACCAGCTTCATCCAGAGTGGTAATTAAAGGGGAATTCCACCAGTTTTTCAAAATCTCAGCATAATTCATTGATTGAGATGTAAACAGAGTGATTCAGAGTGGTCTGGTGTGAAATGGTTCAGATGTCTTTACAGTGGTGGTGATGGGAACCAGGGGTCGCCATGACTACAACACAAATATAGACATTTTATTTACTATCCAGAACCACCAGTGAACCTACACGAGTCTTCTGAGTCTATATGGAATGTTGATGATGGAAAATAGTGGAAAATCTGAAATAATAAGTTTTCTTTGGGGACTATTTTGCCTCACAGCGCCCTGCATGTATCCCTCCACCATGAACGGAGTTTAAGTTCTCTAAACTATCATAAAACAGTGTCTCAGTCATCAGGCAGTGAATTCATAACCATTTCATGTAGGAACTTTCTGTGAGGGAACTTTTAGAGGTGGACATCTGGTTCCTATCACCACCACTGTGAACAGTTCTGACTCGGTAAGTTTATCTAGAACAGAGCGTTTCACACCAAACCACTCTGAACGACTTTGTTTACGTCTTAACCACTTAAGTATAGAAAATTTTGTAAAATAGGTGGAATTCCCCTTTTTTGAGAAGCTTTGCAGCACTGCTGTAGTTTTAAACACATCAGTGTCGCTGCTGGACTGAGAAAATATCCAGCCAACAGAGTCCTGTGGGCAGCGTCCTGTGACCACTGATGAAGGACTAGAGGATGACCAACACAAACTGTGCAGCAGCAGATGAGCTATCGTCTCTGACTTTACATCTACAAGGTGGACTGACAAGGTAGGAGTGTCTAATAGAGTGGACAGTGAGTGGACACAGTGTTTAAAAAACTCCAGCAGCACTGCTGTGTCTGATCCACTCAGACCAGCGCAACACACACTAACACACCACCACCACGTCAGTGTTACTGCAGTGCTGAGAATGACCCACCACCCAAATAGTACCTGCTCTGTGAGGGTCCATGGGGGTCCTGACCACTGAAGAACAGGGTGAAAGGGGCTGTATATACAGGACAGTGGTTACAGGCCTAATTATGTATCTAAGTGATTTATTTACACTCTGCTCAGCTCAGTGTTTTACCTTTAAACGTATTCAGTCACCGTCTGAAATTAAACACATCAGAAGGCCAGTCGACTCCCGCGGTGAGGATAATGGACTGAGCTCTCAGGAAAATTAAAAATAACTGGCATTTTTCTTGAATCAATGATCTCATTAATGAACATCTTGTCCAGCGAGTGCTTAGCAGCATGGAGCTGTGAGTGCTGGAGTTTAGTGCTTCAAGAAAACAGCAGAATCTGACCATGCAGCCTTCATCATGTAGTCATCATCATCAAATAAGGGTTTAATAATTCAACAGCATCAATTATGATAATATTTAATAAAGTATGCCCTGTAAAAATGACAAAAAATGACCAGCGTAAAATCTGTTACTTTTAAAAATGCGTTATTTTATCATTTGAAGCTCAAACTCCAACTTTCTTCCAGTTTACTTACTTTGAATCATTTTTTACAGTGAGACCTCATTTGTGGCCAAAATAAAATCTCTTTTCTAAGTATAAACAATATAAACAGTGCATCTTTTTTGCATATATATATATATAGCAGAGCACTTTTTGGTTCTTGTTCTTCAAAGGTTCTTCTGTATACAATCTTGGACACTCAGAGAACCCTTTGCATGATTAAAGGTTCTTTGCATAATGAAAGGGTTCTTCAGATTGACAGAGAATATGCTGTAGATGGTTCTTTTTGAAAACCGTTCTATATAGCACCATAGAAGGTTCTGTTATTGTATACCATCTTAACAACAGCGGAACCCTTTTCTGATGCCACACTCCAGAAAACCATGGACATAATTAAAGGGTACTTTGCATCATGAAATGGTTCTTCAAATTGCTGGAGATGGTTGTTGATGGTTCTGTATAGAACCTTTTAGAAAAGGGTTTTATATAGCACCACAAAGCGTTCTGCTATTGTTGTGATTTCAAGCTTGTAACAAGAGAAGAACCCTTTTTGGTGCTATATAGAACCATATGCAACACACTCTCCATTAATCCGAAGAACCTTTTCACAATGCAAAGATCCCTTCAATCATGCAAAGGGTACTTTAAATGTTCATGGTTCTATACAGAACCATCGTCTTTGTTTAAGAACCTCTGAAGAACAATGTTTTAGAGTGTACAAAGAATCATTTTCAAAACAACACATTATCCATCAATCTGAAGAACCGTTTCACTTTGTGAAGAACCGTTTAGGCATGCAAATGGTTCTATATAGAACTTATGGTTCTAGATAGAACTATTCACTTCACTGTAATGTACACAGTAGTGGAGTACAGACCATAGAAACACCACAGCGAGCAGTCCTCTCCATTTTTACATGAAAACAGAGCGAGAGGTGAGTCAGAGAGCAGCGCTGGGTTTACAGCCCTGATCATCTTCATGAGCAGTGAGAGTTCAGAGTGGAGCCTCTCCATAAATACAGGCTGAATAAATCAACTTTATTAATAAAGAGCCTTTATAAATAAAGGCCACATGACCACAGGTTTAAATCTGTCTGTTTGTTTGTTTCACACATGCAGCCCTTGTAAACAAACACACTGAATGTGAAAGGAGCTGAAGAGCCGAACAAGCTGTCCAGGAGAGCGTTTACACAAAAACAACAACAACTACAGTAACAGTACTGATAACAGAAACAGCTACACTAGAACTGCCAGCTCACTAACACTAATAATATCACTGCTGCTGGACCAAAACCTCCATTTTGTTTTGTTTTTCATTTTCAGTTTTTGGCATATTTTGAAAATGCCTGTTGTCCTTTACATTGTGTGTAAATTTCATGATGAACGGACCAAAAGAAACGACTCAGAATGGCTTGGAAAGATGTCTGGTTCCATTGACTTACATTAAAAGTAAAGTATGTTTTTTCCTTCTCCTGTAAAGTTACCATTTTGGAGATACGAGATTTTGTTCTGACAGCAGTGGGAGTAATAATAACAACACTGTCACCCTTAAAAGGGTTCTTCAAGGGTTCTTTACTAAACACAATGATTATAGAACCATAACAATTCAATATCCATCTAAATGCATGATTAAATGGTTCTTCTCCCTGATGGAGAACCTGTTTCATATGGTTCTTCAAAGAACCGCAAATGTTCTACATAGCAACAAAAAGCCTTCTGCTATTGTTGCAAACCAAACAATCTTTTGCTGGTGCACTATCAGCAAAAACGTTCCATATAGTACTGAAAAAGGGTACCTCCTAAAAACAGTGGTTGGTATTTATAAATGGTTCTTTAAAGAACCATATGTAAAAGGTTCTCCATCTTAGAGAAGGTTCTTCTTCATGAAAGAGAGCTTCTTGTGTATGGTTCCCTTCCAAGAATGTTTTAAAATGGGTATATGTAATACTGAAAATGGGTTCTCTAGTGGAACCCTTTTCTGTCCTACCTAGAACCATCTTAAAGAACCATAAAGAAGAGGCTCTCCATTGTAGCAAAGATGGTCCTCCTCTGTGAAGGGGAGCCTTTTGTACATGGTTCTTTGAGAAATAGTTCTGTACAGTGCTGAAAAGGGTTGACTCGTAACTGTAGTGGAACCCTTTTTGGTGGTACGCAGAATCTTTTTTTATCTTTAAAGAACCACATACAAGAAGCTCTTTACACTGTGGAGGAGAACCATTTAACCAGTGCACCAGTTGTCACAGTTCTATATATAAACATTACATTTGCTAAAGAACCCCTTTTTAAGGGTGTACTGTACATTCTTATAAAAGATGGTTCTTCAAGGGTTATTTAATGAAGACAATGGTTCTATAGAGAACCATGAATACTCAAAGAGCATTTTAATGCTTAAAAGGTTCTTTGCATGGTGAAATGGTTCTCTGGACTGAAGGAGACTGTGTTGTATATAGTTCTACATAGAACCTTCTTGAAAATGGTTCTATATAGTACCAAATAAGGTTCTGCTGTTGTTACGTCAAGCTGGTAACAGAAGAACAACTCCTTTTTGTGCTACATAGAACCATACACAACATATTCTCCATCTCCAACAATCTGAAGAACCATTTCAACACACAAAGAAATATTTAAGCATGAAATGGTTCTAAATAGAACTCATGGTTCTAAAAAGAACAATTGCCTTTACCAAAGAGCCTTTGAAGAACCATTTCATCATGCACAGAACATTTAAGCATGCAAATGTTTTTTGAGTGTCCATGGTACTCTATAGAACCATTGTCTTTACTAAAGAACCTTTGAAGAACCATCTTTTGTAAGAGTGTATATAGAACCCCTTTTAAAGAAGAGTATACTGCCTCCATTCACAACAACAACAACAACAACAACAACAACAACATCACTACTGTTACTACAGCTATTAGTCCTACTGATAACAAGAGCATCACTGAAGCCAGAGATGAAGAACAGCAGAAGCTCAGTGAACACAGGTTCTTCTACAGGTGACAGAACCACAGAGGAGCTGACAGCGCGCGTTAAACTGAGCTACAACTAGAACCACTGACGACCTCGCAGTGTTATTGATGTTCGCGCGTGTTTCAGTGAAATAAAGCTGAAATAAGAGCGTAGCTCACCGGCGGAGGCAAGTTAGTTCCTCTGGATCATCTGCCCGCGGGATGCTGCTCTCTCCCTCTCTCTCTCGCTCTCTCTCTCTCCCTCTCTCTCTCTCTCTTTTGTTCTCTTTCAGCGCATCTGAAGTGTCCGGGGTGAATATGTGCTGTCCGCGCGCGTTATTTCAGCCTCAGCATCTCGCGCTGTGCTCCTCCTGCGCGCGGCTGCGGGTGAATAAATCTCAGAGTGACAGAAAAACCGCTTTTGTTGTTCAGGCACGTTCCTCCACCGCTAAGCAGCGGAGCGGCGCTTAATCCCACCCGTATTCATCCCAAACCACGCCCACTCCGCCCTGGGATTGGCTAGTAGTGCCCCACCTGCTTCACTGGGATTGGCTCATAGCGGAGGCTTCCGGATCCTGAACCAGGATTGGCTAAATCTAGTCCTGCCTCCACTGCTAGGATTGGCTAGCGGGAGCCACGCCCCTCCGCACTGGGATTGGCTTACAGTGACCCCCGCCTTGCTACAATGTGATTGGCCTGTAGTGCACTTGACCAACTGCTGTGCCAGAATTGGCTCATTCTAGTCATGCCTTTCCAATTAGCCCTGGCTAGTGGGAGCCACGCCCCCCCGCACCGAGATTGGCTAGTAGTCACCTGTCTCCTGTGCTGTGATTGGCTCATAGAGTCTTGGCTTCTGTGCCAGGATTGGCTAGTTCTAGCCCTGCCTTTCCTGTTAGTACTGGCTAGAGGGAGCCACGCCCCCCATTCGCTTGGATTGGCTAGTAGCATCCTGCCTCCTGTGCTGTGATTGGCTCGCAGAGTCTTGGCTTCTGTGCCAGGATTGGCTAGTTCTAGCCCTGCCTTTCCTGTTAGTACTGGCTAGTGGGAGCCACTCCCCCCATGCACTGGGACTGGCTACTAATGACTCGCCTCTTTGGATTGGATTGGAGCACAGTGTACCGCCTTCTGTGCCAGGATTGGCTAAATCTAGTCCTGTCTCTGCTGCTAGAATTGGATAGCAGGAGCCACACCCCCTGCACTGGGACTGCCTAGAAATATCCTGCCTCCTGTGTTGTGATTGGCTCACAGAGTCTTGGCTCCTGCTCCAGGATTGGATAGTTATAGCCCTGCCCAGCCCTGGCTAGTGAGAACTACGCCCCCCTCCACTGGGATTGGCTTGTAGTGTCCCACTGTGCTGTGATTGGCTAGTAGAATCCCATTTACTAGCTTGGTGGACTAATCTCTACTAGTAGCTAATACTGCAGTGCTTTGCGTTCTAGAATGCTTTCCTGCATTGTGATTGGTTGTTTTAAAAAGCGCTCTAGAACAGTGCACTGCTTGTGAGTAAAACTACTAGTCAGCTGTAGTGCAGGGGTGGTGAAGTTTCTGGAACTTTGTTATCATTCTGGAACACTGGAGTGCTTGTAAGTGTGAACTACTAGCCAATCCTAGAGAAGAGGGCGGGGCTTTAGTATTTTAGACCAGTAAAGAACGCTCTATAATTACAAACTGCTCATAAAAACAGAAAAATATCCAGTCGTAGCACAAAGAGTGTGGTTTTAGGTTTCGAGAACGTTTAACAACACTCTAGAATGGTGCTTTCTAAAAAATGGTTCTCCAACGGTTCTCTGGTAAAGGCAGTGGTTATAAATAGAAAGAACAAATTGAATATGTAAATAGTTCTTTGTTATGATGGAGAAACTACAATATATGGTTATAGTATAGTATTTAGTATAGTATAGTAATACTTTTAAAAATGGCTCTACAGCCCCAAAAGGGTCCTGCTGTCTGCCATCGGTTGTAGAACCTCTTTTTGGTGCACATTTAAAAAAGGATGGCTCATCAAGGGTTCTTTAGTAAAGGCAATGGTTCTATTCAGAATCATGAGTTCTATATAGAAACACGTGATGGTTAAATGGTTCTTTGCATTGTGAAATGGTTCTTCAGATTGATAGAGAATGTGTTGTGCATGGTTCTATATAGAACCTTTTTGAAAAACCTTTGAAGCACCTTTCCTCCACCTTTCATGATGCAAAGAACGCTCTAATCATGTAGAGGGTTCTCTGAGTGTACTATATACTAAAGAACCCTTGAAGAACCATCTTTCTGAAGTGTGTACTGTATGAAACCGAATCCCATTGCTTTTGAATGTGTTGAATGTTCTAGAATTGCTTGTGATAAACCAGCAACCAATTGCAGCACAGAAGAGGCGGAGCTTCAGTGTTCTAGAGCACTTTAGAGTGCTATCAGTGTTCTAGAATGAAGAACAGCTTGTGAGTATTAACTTGTAGTACGGGGAGGCGGGGCAAGTCTGAATACAGGTGGGGAAAAAAACTAAAAACACCCAAAATACCTTGCTGGATGTCGCCCACACTGACCGGGAGAGGGACGCTGGAGGCGGGGCGTTAGGTAACCACTCTCCTGCACATTCTCCCTTTAGAACTGGAACAATCCACACAACCAGTGTAGTACATTAGTAACAACGCCTTTATGACTTATTTATAACAGGATTTATAATGCATGAATGATCGGCCTTACAGCCAGAGCGCCAGCCATCCAACAACCCGCCTCTATTTTTGGAATAAACACTGTGTTAATATCATTCAAGGCCATCGAACTGCTAGAAATGAATTGGTCCATCTCTCCGCAGGAGAAGCTCGTTCGGATTCTCCGGCTGCAGCTCCTCCTGTAGACCTTCCCGCTCGTGTTTTCTCAGGATGGAGCTGCGTAACCTTCACCCACAGATGAATTTGCTCTCTTGTTCAGAGCACCGTGTCTAATTGAACTCAAGAGACCTGCATTCTTATTGCATCAATAATTCACGCTTATGTGCTTTAACTGAAGAATACAGTCATCCTGGATATTCCTACTTATTAATATATGTATTTATTCCTCTGTTTGGGCTCCGGACGCTGTTTTCTGTGCTCACGGTCACTAATAACCCGCATCCGTCAGGCTGAATTATGACTGAAATTAATCAGCAGAGCGGCGGCAGGAGTTAGAGGATGATAAACAGCACGAGGCTAATAGTGAAATGGCTCTTTATTGATGGCCGCTCGCAGATATTCTCCATTGAAATGTCTTGGCTAGTTCATAAATCTATATTTCTGCTGAAGCATCGTGCAGCAACCTATTTTTGCAGTGGGCGCAACTTCATCCTCGTCTCAGGGCTTAATTGATCTTGTCATTAAAGGGCTCGTATACTGGAAAAACACATTTTCCTCACCTGTTTGAAATGAGAGTTTGATTTAGGACATAAACACAGTTAAGGTGTCAGTCGTATGGAAATAACAGCCCGTTTTGAATTCGCTGGTTTTGTGATGTCACAAAAACCAACACATTGACATACAGTCACATGCAAAGGTTCCTCCCCCAAACTTTTTGAAAGTGAAAATAAGTTAACACATCTTCTACACTTGTAAAACAGATGGTTCTTCAGTGGTTCTTTAGTATATAGAATCATGGAATAGTTCTATTTAGAACCATGAGTTCTATATAGAACCATTTGCATGCTTAAATCGTTCTTCACATGATAAAATGGTTCTTCAGGTTGATGGATAATATGTTTTATATGGTTCTGTATGGAACCTTTTTGAAAATGATTCTCTGTACACTTAAAAAAAGATGGTTCTTCAAGGGTTCTTTAGAATATAGAAGCATAGACTAGTTCTATTTAGAACCATGAGTTCTATATAGAACTATTGGCATGCTTAAATTGTTCTTCACATGGTGAAATGGTTCTTCAGAATGATGGATGATGTTTTTTTGGTTGCAAGAATAGAAGAACCCCTTTCAACCCATTTATCATGCAAAGAGCTCATTGAATGTTCATGGTTCTAGATGGAACCATATTTTGCCAGTTGAAGTTAATGCTTTTTAATAAAAGTTACAGTTATAGTATTAATAATAAATACATAAAAATAAACATTAAAATATGGAGCACTCATTATAAAATATCTAACATTAAAATACGAAGAAAATAGAACAAAATCTCACCTTCACTTTAACATCACCTTCACTTTAATATCACCTTCACTTTAACATCACCTTCACTTTAATATCCCCTTTACTTTAACATCACCTTCACTTTAACATCACCTTCACTTTAACATCACCTTCACTTTAATATCACCCTTCACTTTAACATCACCTTCACTTTAATATCACCTTCACTTTAACATCACCTTTAATCTCACCTTCACTTTAATATCACCTTCACTTTAATATCACCTTCACTTTAATATCACCTTCACTTTAATATCACCTTCACTTTAATATCACCTTCACTTTAATATCACCTTTACTTTAACATCACCTTCACTTTAATATCACCTTCACTTTAATATCACCTTTAATCTCACCTTCACTTTAATATCACCTTCACTTTAATATCACCTTCACTTTAATATCACCTTCACTTTAATATCACCTTCACTTTAACATCACCTTCACTTTAATATCACCTTCACTTTAATATCACCTTTACTTTAACATCACCTTCACTTTAATATCACCTTTACTTTAACATCACCTTTACTTTAACATCACCTTCACTTTAATATCACCTTTACTTTAATATCACCTTTACTTTAACATCACCTTTAATATCACCTTCACTTTAATATCACCTTTACTTTAACATCACCTTCACTTTAATATCACCTTCACTTTAACATCACCTTCACTTTAATATCACCTTCACTTTAACATCACCTTCACTTTAATATCACCTTTACTTTAACATCACCTTCACTTTAATATCACCTTCACTTTAACATCACCTTCACTTTAACATCACCTTCACTTTAATATCACCTTCACTTTAATATCACCTTTACTTTAACATCACCTTCACTTTAATATCACCTTTACTTTAACATCACCTTCACTTTAATATCACCTTCACTTTAACATCACCTTCACTTTAATATCACCTTTACTTTAACATCACCTTCACTTTAATATCACCTTTACTTTAATATCACCTTCACTTTAATATCAGCTTCACTTTAATATCACCTTCACTTTAATATCACCTTTAATATCACCTTCACTTTAATATCACCTTTACTTTAACATCACCTTCACTTTATA